ATATTATTTCTAGGAAGATAGAAATCTCATTCGTCGCTGAGGACAAAGTTTCACCTCTTGGCTCCGGTTCATGTTAGCCGTTAGAGTGCGGAAGCCAGTTGGGCCATCCTGCCCTTGAAGCCCAACAACGGCTTCTTGTTGGGACATCATCCGTAATATTCACCAGGTCGCGGCCGATGTTGGCGTGCACTTGGACTTTCATATGATTAGGAAAAAACCAGAAAAAGTTGTCTCTTAGTTGGGAATGTTGGGGGCACGGGACGTGCCAACCACCTTTCGAAGTATTTGGAGAGGACCAACTTCTTGTGAAGATACTTTTTTGTGAATGATCATTCTTCTTATGCTTACTCGACTCTAATAACGCTAGAAACATCCGATAATATTGCTTCCGTAGAGACTGAACTACTAAGAAACAGTTTCAATTTCGTATTCCGGATTGTAGGGTTTAAAAAAGGACCCCCATGGAAAAACTGCTTTCTTTGCATATGAATTCATTTTGAAATTACACATTGCTCAATGGTTTAACTAAAATTAACAGAAACAAGTAAACATTGAAGAGTAGGAATCATAATGATAAGGGAAACAAAAAGTTTCCAAACTTTTGACGCGCCATTACTTGAAAAAATCTTTTCTCAAATATGATTATAGGTTTTTGGAAATTGTTCTTCCCGTCGTATTCTGAACTCGATTTTGTATGGAATATCTAAATTTGGGACAATTTCGTTGTGTATCGGCCGCGCTAGATCAAAAATAAAAAAGTTTCCAAACTTTGACCGCTACTGTACGTAAGTGAGCATTCATTAGACTGTTTGTGATCATCAGACCGTTGTCAGCCGAACGAATGGCAGATTGACTTTAGGAAGTACTTTTTGTTTTTCAAACGCCTGTCTTGAATTTGTTGATTTGTTTTGTATACGAGGGTCAGAATTTTAAAAACCTAATAACATGAGTAACCACATTTTTTCTAGACTCAACTTTCTCCCTCCAATCGTTCTTCGCTAGGCTTCTACACCATTACTGGATATATACGGCGCACCTCGCCCACAGGACACTAGCGCGTAGTCGCGAAGCAGCGCTAATTAGGTGCTAGAATTTGAGCTCACTCTGCACCTACAATACTGCTCCTAATTTTTGTAACATCTACGCGTTGCGACCAGGGCGAAAATCGTGTCGAGGAAATAACCGCCTCTTTACGACCCCCCTCCAAAACATGGACTCTGATACGACCCCTTTTTGTCCTCTGCACATCCGGTTTCATATCAAAAAATGCTAGTTTCAGATGTGCGAGAGGGACGCAGCGCCGCTGCCACGCAAATGCGGCTTGATCCAAATGCTAGATTCAATTCTGCTCAGATTAGGTTCTCCTTCTTTCCTTTAAAGACATTTAACCTTTGCCACATTGGCCGGAAAGTAGAACATTGAAGGAGGTACTGCCCCTACACAGTTGAACAGTCTCGCGCTCCAGTATAGCGGCGCTAACTACCCGCGATCGCGTCGCGCGCTGTGCCTAGAGCGCGCTAGTTGGAAAAATCGTCAAATGTACCCCCTATTTAAAGGACTATAACTTTCTTCATTGATAACCATTTCAGAAAGTGAAGGCAGCTTTTGAATGCACAAGACTTCTAGTTTCTAAATTGTGCTGAGCGTTTTTCTAAGCACGCCTATTCTCGAGAGTGGGAGACGTCGAGAAATTGTCGAGGAAATTGAAATTTACATGCGAGTTCCCACTCTTGGAAGACAGTAGCTGTCTTCATTGGCAATGCTTTGAAATCGGAGGAAAGCGTTGTAAAGTAGAAGATTTACGCTTTCTGATAGGTGCTCCAGTTGTTTCGAACGCTTTCTAGTTCGCGAGAAATCTGCGTCGAGGAAATGTCAAGGAAATTTTCGAAGCCACTCGAAAACTCTATTACTCCCTCGCCGTAGTAGGGAACTTCTTTGAACACCTTCAAAATACTTCTGTACACGTCAGTTCGATGGAGTAAATTGAAAATGATGCACTTGGCGCGGATCCATTCCGTTCTTGTATGCGCCATGCAGTGACCCCACTCGGAGTCATTGGGAAGGTGTTTTGTCCTAGTGACGACTTGCTTAATCACACCAAAAGATATTTCCAGTATTAACTAATTAGGATAACTCTTGTGGTCATAGTGATGTCTGATCATTCCTTTATTCAAATCGCTTCCTTTCCAACCCGTTCTGATGAATGACAGCTTGCGGTTGCAGGATCTGATGATGCCAAGAAGGCTGCGAATCTGCCTGTTTTGAACTTTCTACCAAGATGCTGTTCCTCCACTAAGTTCTCGAAGCATTAACATCATTCTAGAGTAGATAATCGCTGCCTTTCCCTACGACTCTTTTGCAGGACGCGTTGCCTTCACCATTGCAAGTGTGATTCGTTGGCAACACTCGGAATGTGTCTAGAACAAAATCTTTCAACGCAAGCAATAAGAATAGGGGCAATCGTCATCATCCGATTTCGTATTGGTATAAGCCATGCATCCGACCTCCACTCAAGTTGCAGAATCGATTGAAAGGTGTTATATGATCATGACCAGTTGACAAAGCTGCATTGTAGTAAACGCATTTCGTAACTCCTACAACCTAAAGAACAACTTCATTTGCCCAGGGCTTTTTCCTTCACGGTTGTCGTTTTTGCGACAGGGTCCCTAACAACAGTGTCATTCTCAGCGAGGTATTAAGGGAGAAGGAGCGAGCGATAGGCAGAGGAGGTGCCTTTGCAGCGCGTGCGCACATGTGGCAGTCTTCTTTGCGGGGATGCACTTTCATTCTTTGTACTGCCTTCAAATACGCCCTTCTCATGAAGGTGGAGGAATGGAGCGACTGAACCTGCAAAGAAAATTTAATATCATGTTTTTTTTCAGATATTTTCATTTTCTGCTGCGCTATACCCTCTTACCTATCTGCACCACGATACCACTGCTGTTACTGACCCCCAAGAGTACGACCCCCCATGGACCAGCCCAACAGGTACGACCCCCCTGTCGAGGATTTCCTCGACCGATATTCACCCTGGTGCCGATCGATAACACGTGAACCGAAGGAATTTCCCTCTCTTACTACAGCACCCAATCAATACTGCGATTCCTATCCCCAACGGAGCTCTCTGCGCAAGAACCGATATTTTCAATCGATATCGATCGGTAGCACGTGACCCGAAGGAATTGCCACAGTACCCAATCAATACTTGCTATACGACGTGTGCGAATGCCCAAACCAGTCGCATCGCCTGGCTACGCTGGGCATTCCGACACCAAGAAGGAGCAGAGCCCTGGCCGATGCGACTGGTTTTACGATATTAGAGAGATATTGTTTTTGAAGCGGCAAAAACTCGCATGAAAATTTCAGCATCCTCGACATTTACTCGACGAAATTTGAGAGACCCTATCTTTCTGCATGGAAGGCTTTCAGAGCAATTTCAATACTTCTTGGAAACGCGAAATCCAGCTCTATCTAACCCTACCTCAAACTGCTTCAAAGGTTATGAAATGGAGGAATGCAACCTTTTCATCGAGGGTGTAGATTTCGACGGTTTTTTTCGGGATTTCAGCAAATCTGACCCAGTGACAATCGCGCCGCAGCTGCCGTTGAATCGGCCCTGATTGATACACTCGGCTGTTTTGATATACTCAAGCAGGAATTAAGATTGAATCGCAACCCCGTGCCTTCAGGATTTCTGTGCATTTCTGAACGAACCTGCCTTTGAGGTCACACAAAGTTAATGCCTCTTTCCTCGAGTCGATATTTCAGTAAATACACAAAAGTGTGCAGCGATGAAAAAAGTGCATGGATGACAAGATAAGGCGTCTATAACATTATTTTGCAGAATTTTTTTTCGATTAATCAATTGAATTGATATGCTCTGTTACGAGTAAGTAAGTACGACCTCCCTAAAATCGAGGTCGTGCCAGGACCTCGATTTCAGGGGGTCGTACTTCTGCGATCACGTCCTCGACACGATTCTCACTCTGGTACACTCGCATATGCACGCTATGCATCTCTGCTTTCGTTCCTTCCTTAATAAGACTTAGTCCTAGTGCTCCCCCAAACGCGTGAGAGTCCCAGAAAAACACAAAGTAGTGCTTTTCTGTCTGGGCTCTCACGCGTTGGTTGACCACCGCCCCGTAAGCTGGCGAAGGGCTCGAAGGGAGGCGCTGCAAAATCATCAAGGCGGTAGCTAAGAGCTGATCTCAGACTGGAAAGATAATGGGAATGAGGAGAGGCGAGACAGTTAGACGAGGGATTGACAATAGTTTTCATGGAATAACTTATTGTCATTTCAAGCATATTAGTAGTTTACACATGGTTAGACTCGCCACAGAGAGGCGAGTCTATTGCTGTAAAGATCTTTCCATTTTACCCGCTTTCAAGGAAGTTATAATGGTGCGACGGTTTGCGACGCTACAGAACCGTCGCAACGCGTAGATGTTACAAAATTAGGAGCAGTATTGTAAGAGCCCACCGCACTTTCTTAATACAGTAGTTCCGTTTTCATACCGGATTTTTGTGTGCAAAGGTGGCGTAAAAATACTTCGCTCGAGGTATCACCTGTCGCCAGGCATTACCTGTGGTCCGCTGTTCCCACTATTGCATTCTGATAGATCACTGCCAGTCGATAGCTCCGTTGTTGTTCACACCGTTCATAGTAAATTGGATTCGTGCAATGCTCGGTTGAAGTGATACCATTACAGTGTGAAGAAATTGTTTTCAAGGTAATTTAGCCCTCAATGTCGGTTGCAGCAGTTGAAGATCGATCATATCAAGTTGTTGCTGGATCAATCCTGTTATCGTTAAGTTTTTAACTGCACTTCGTTCATTCAGATTGTAGGCAAGCAATGTTAAAACGTGCTACTTGCCAGCAACCACCAAAAAAAACTGCTCTGAAAGTAGGGTAAAGTCTTCACTATTTTCTGAAAGTTCCACATTGTTGCAATCCCAACGACTGCGCTCTGGATGTATCAATTACAAAACTTAATTTTTAGGTAGGTTTGATCGGTACTGTGTCGAGTATTTCGGCTATAGTGCTGATATATCGCACACCAACGTTACATAATGCTTTCGGTTTTATTTGTGTCTCACATCTGCTTGCTGATGCGGGAGTACTCATAGTATTTTCTTTCTGGATCGCTCCAGTTGCATTACTGTGAGTTTCGCTATATTACTCTATTGACTGGATACGATATGTTGATATGTTCACCTGAAGGCAAGCTCCAAGATGCAGGCTCACCTGTACCATCCTTGAGGCTTCCTGCTAGGCGGGCAAAAGGCGCTAGAAGCTCGTTCATCCCCCAATGCACATCTTTGTCAAGACTCGCCTTCCACTGTAGGCTTTCACGTGATGTTGCGAGAAAAGTGCTGGCGCGATTGCGGCAGCGGTTGCATTGCGGCTCATTGCCTTGACACTGGAACAACTGCAGCTAGTTCTGGAGAAGTTTTTTTTCGGCTTTTTAGTTAACGCACTTCTACGCCAATTTTATCCCGGAGCTTGCCTTCAACGATAACAGAATTAGTGGAAGCCTTTCAGCAAAATATCTGTACTGGAATCCATGCGAAATCACAACATTAATGCGACTGTTCCAGAGGCTTCTCAGAAACGATAAGTCAATCCTATTTCGCTAGGAGAATGGGTCAGCTCTGTACGATATTTTGGAATGCTTCTATATATGGCCAGCTACAAATCGCTATCAACCGATTCCTAGCTATCACATCACCAATGCTGTACAAGTGCGGTATTACCAAGTCGGAACCTTGCATTTTCATTAGGTTCCACTAAGTTCGCCTCTCCACATCTTGATTTTTTTAAAGACAATCCATGTGCGTCTACACACTTGCACTTAAAGAATTGACTCCAGTGTAGCATTCAATAGAGATGTTGAAACATGCTCGTTGATCATTATCGCATTTCTTCAGACAGCCTCTACACACATTCGCAGGAAATTTAGGCAAAGTAGCGGTCGAAGGGAGTATGGTGCTGACGATGGAACGCAAATGAAATAAAAATGAAATGGGTAGTGATTCTTATCTGGTATTAGGTTTGAAGCGACCTATGTTCTTGCTTACATCGTTGTTATCAGCGCCTATCAACTATTATCACTCTCGGTCCACCACCTAAATATGTTCCTACCCTCCACATAACTTGTTGGAGACGGCGCCTGACTGCTGCTGGGATACGCGCTATTCATTCGATGGTACTTGCGTCCTAGCGCCCCTTATCAGCTGCTATTATATTCGGTCCCCCACCAAATATTAGGTTGTCTCATAAACAGTGTCGCTTTTTTTCAATCCAAAAAATTTTCATCTAAATCCCCATGCTTTTACATCGTGTTATATACCATTCGAAAGAGAATTGTCTGCTCTACAAAATGCTATGTTCCTCTTCCACCTCTGTTCCAGGGTTTTCAAATTTTAGGCCTGCGAAATGGGAGGTCCAGCCGACAAAAATTGACCAAACCGACAACTATCTCTAACTTTATCTTCCCTTGGGAGAAATCAATCAATGATGTACCTTCTACTTATGCATGACCTCTTCTAACATTACACTACTAGGTTTTCCTACAAATCGCGTCGTTCAATTTCCAGAGCTGGTTTTTCAACCAGAACTCGACGATCGAGCACCATTACCTGTGATCTAGGTCGAAATTTTTTTATGGCCGAGACGTTGAAGAACTGGTTGAATTTGAAGAACAAGTCATGACTAAGTTAGGAATGTACGACTGGTTGATTTTCTCATTTTCTAAGGGATAATTTTTTTCAAAGAAATGTGGTCACTTTCGCGGTAAAGCACCTTATACCGAAACATCTAAAATTCGAACTAATTCCCAACAAACAGAGAAACAAAACAAATGAGCGAGTAGAGCAGAAGAAGTGCTCGTAAAAGGAACACCACTCGATATGAAACAATGACGTTTACGAGGAACAATTTTAATTTGAAAATTGCTATGGCTTATCCGTCAGCCAATTCGAAAAGAAAAACGGCAAAGCTTTTTCGGCAACCTAAGAGTGGAATGTTTAGAAGAGGTCATGGGTAAGTATAGGGTATATCACTGGTTGATTTCTCCCCAGGGAAAATAAAGTTACAGCCAGTTGTCGGTTTGGTCAATTTTTGCCGGCGAGACCTCCCATTTTGCTGGCCTGAAATTCGAAAACTCTGAAATAGCGGTGGAAGCGGAACACAGCATTTTGTAGAGCAGACAATTCTCTTTCGAATGATATATAAAACGATGTAAAAGTTTCATGATTTAGATGAAAATTTTTTGGTTGAAAAAAAACGACATCACTTATGAGACAACCTAATATGTTCCCGTCCCACCCTCCACATAACTTCTTGGAACCAACGCCCACTGCTGCTGGGACGTGCGCTATGAATTTCGTGAAATTTGCGTTCTAGCGCCTCTTATCAATCTTATCAGTCGTTATCACTTTCTGTCCCCCACCAAATATGTTCCCGTCCCACCCTGTACATCACTTCTTGGAACCAACGCCCCACTGCTGCTGGGACGCGCGCTATGAATTTCATTTGCGTTCAGCGCCTCTTATCACCTCTTATCAGTCGTTATCACTTTTTGACCCCCACCAAATATGTTCCTGCTCCATACCCTCATACTTAAAGGACGAATTCACGATGAAAAAGCAACCCATTTCAAATTAACCTAGGGATGGTGAGTGGTACACGAAAGAAGGAAGAACCATGAGAAACGGCCCAGAACCCGAGAAATGGGACCCCTTCCTTGCCCGTTGATTTGATGCGACTCTCATCGCTGTGCCCTCTTCAACACTACGCTCTCTCACCTATCTAATCACTCGCCACGTATAGACCTGCGGCGAGTGATCAGGATCGGTGGGCGTGCACTGACCCACCGCGCCAAGATTGAGCCTTAAAGGAATCTTCCACGGACCATGGACCAGTGGGCGGGACCGGAAGTGGTTTTGCGACGAAATGCATGGTAGGTACGGATCCACGTTCATGGGAAGGTTTGAAGTGAATCCTGTTCACGTTCGTGCGTTCGACACGTGGATCCGTACCTACCATGCATTTCGTCACAAAAACTTCCGGTCCCGCCCACTGGTCCATGGTCCGTGGAAGATTCCTTTAATAATTCGCTGAGGTCAACTCCTTTGGTGCCGATCGCGCTTCAATCAGCAGAGGTCCGCGGGTAACTCAGCTAGGTGAATAACTCCTTTCTCGACTTTCATTCTGGTCGTGGATTCGTCCTTAAAAATGCAGCGGTCCATGTCTGCGACGAAGCGAGCTATGTACCTCGTGACACACGGACACACACACATACTTAGCGAATTATGTGTAGTAGGATCATTTACCAAAACAGGTAAAGGAAAGGATAAAGCATTTGCCGTTGATCAATCCCTTTTTGGGATGCGGCACGCATTCTACTTCCATTTGTACATTCGTAGTGGCGTTTGAATGCGATGTGGCCTATACAATGACTTGCGGGGGCCAGCCGATGTACAAGTCAGTGTTTTTATCCTCCCAGACAAGTCTGGTACCAATTAACCGACCCCGGAGGGATGGAAGGCTTGGTTGGCCCGGGCGACTCACGACCCAGGATTTGATCCCTGAACCGATTATTTTTTTATTCACCAAAACGGGGTTGCCGCTGCTAAAGTCGCAACTGTTCCTTATATCATATCTTGAGCTGTACTTTTTGGATAGCATCGTCGCTACGGCGAGGTGCGTCCACTCAACCTGACTTTCTCATGCACTGCCAGAATGTACTCACAAGTCACCCAAAAAAATGAGAAGCCAAACTAAGAATTTTGCATTTCTGCCGTTGATATCACCGTATGATATCACTTCATCTGTCTGCTGTACGTTCCAACCCGTGGGAACTTCCTTCAGGATGAGATCCAACACGCAAAAATGACGGCAGACTTCAAGCGGCCAGGATGTTGCAGCACTTCCTCACATTCTCAGACAAGCTAATCAAGGCAATTAGTGGAAGGGATTCAAAACTAGAAGAAGGACATCCTTAGCAGGAGCTTTTGATGTGCTGCTGCTTTGAGCCATTTTCTTAGTTGCATTCAAAGCGAACATTCATACCAAGGACCTAATAGGTCATTCCAAGTATCACCTATTTCCAGCTACATTAATTGTTGCAGTTCTGTATTCTCAAAGCGACGAACCAATCAAATTCTGGCGGTCTTTTGGCTAATATCTCTTGGACAAGCCGCCGTTCACTTCATTGGTATTATTTGAGCTATTTTTCTTTCTTTTTCGCGAACATCAAAATGATCAAAAAGACCTGTTCTGTCTGAAAGCCATGCATTCTTCTGCCTCAACAACCTGAATCAAAAGAATCGCCTGCAACCTCGGGCGAGAGCCAGTGACGTCCACAAAGTCCAGTGACACTCACAAGGGATCCTTCATTACTTTTGTTCAGTCTTCTCTTAAGAAATCTGCTAGCGGTCGTAACAGTGCTTATTTGGGATGTATCAAGGTGAGATTCATTTTGTACCTTTACTGATACAACGGTAGGCACAAAATCAAGTGAAGTTTAAGCCCACCTAATCTTCCTTTGTGGAATGGTACGACTTGAGAAACGCAACTGTCCTCCCAACATCTCGTGGGGCAGCTCTTGACCTAAGTCGCTAATCTTATTGACTTCCTCACCAGTTCTTTCCCTTGAGCGTGATTAAGCGTGACCACGAATTAATCAGTTTCCCACAGGCATCGTTTCCCTTTGTCAATTTCAGGCGCACACCGATTTTGCTCCTAGGCACTGTCGTAAGTAGTTATCGTGCTCATGCAGAGAATGAAAACTACATATGCTATTACTTGGTCGTCCAGAAAGTGCTGCGACACTTTTACCAAGTCTTTTTAAGAAAAAATCAAAACTGTTCTCAACTGAAATTTGCAAACTGAGCATATATACTATGATGGACTCGTGCAACGTTTCGCAGCTTGGAAAGTAGTTCTGGCTTTTGTCTGGCCATCTTTTGACCTATATTATTTCTAGAGCTCCTATAAAAGCCATTTTTGTGTCGCTGCAGCTAGTATTTGTGGTGTATTGAAGAGGTAGGTGTTTCAGCAGGCCGTGGTGTCCCGTTGCCCCTAGGACCTCGCATGTGGAGATGTTCAGTTTGAAGTAAAGCACTTACGATAATGAATGTTCATCCAACTTCCTAGATGGGCAGCAAATTGTCAGTCGTGAGTCAGCAGTGGGCTAGGCTGCGCTTATGTGACAGTTCCGATCTTTCGATCATCTCCAAGCTCTCGGCTAAAGCGCAGTATGTTCGTAATGGGTACCACATGCTCCGGTCTAGGAAGGAGGGTTGTTTGACAATGGTTGAGACCTCTTCCTTCCCTCAAAGGAATCTCTTGACAACTTGTAATTGTTTATTACGCAAGCAAACCCGTGTGGAAAAAAATTATAAATAAAAGTGGTGAGAATCTTCAAAAACACTTGAACAAATAACAACAGTTAAAAGATGCAACTCAACAGAAATGCCATAAGAAATGACGAATTAAGTTTTGAGATACTTGTCTAAAGCAGCTCTGAAGGAACTAAGTTTGGTGGTGGATACTCCCAAACGAACCAGTCTATTGAACTCCAAGGTGGTCCTGTTCACGAAAAATGACGTCTGACGTTACGCTTTGCTCTACATGCGACTAGCTTCATGGAGCCACCCCTAGTGATCGAATCTCTAATCAGATAGAGATTGTTAAGCCTGAGAGCGGAATGAAAGTGAATAACCTTGAACAGCGTTATAAGA